AGTAACGTCAGAAAAAGAGCCAAGAACTTTGACATAATCGTTATAATATGAGTTATCTGAAGTTAAATGTCGTAGATGGCGGGTACAACTGTACAAGGCTACTTCCTTGAGGAAGTCCGGTGTTCTAAAAAATGGTATTCAGAAGAGCCATCTCCACAGGAGACTTTAAAAGGTCGATTGTTCAGGAAAGATTGAATGATTACGCTCTCAGTAATCGGGGAAATCTGAGTTTGTACTGTGGTTTACTATAGTGGTCCAAACACAATCAAATGCCTGAGCCACATCTCAAAATACTACTGCAGTGAGCTCTTGTGTTAGCTCATATTGTTTTTTCAATGGATGAGACAGTGACATCGACAAATCGGTATTTGGAGTAGAACATATCATATTATGTCTTTTTGATTTTATAATAGGTAATTGTTTGATTATAATTCAGAAGGTGTTATATGCTTAGCTGGAAAGGACAACGGAAGAGATGGGTTGATTAAGTTTGCTATTATCTGGGAATGTTTATTTTCGTTTAAGTTATTGTGCACCTGGAAGTATTTTCTAGATAATTGAATATAATATGTATCTATTAAAGATTTTTTTGTACTTATACAGATTGATTTTTTATTATTTGAGGGGGGTTCCATATAAGGACGATATTTATCTGAGTTATATTTGTAGATTCTGAGAAAAGTGATGAATGTTTTAATGTTACAAGAATGTATTTTTTTTGTGTCTGCAGACACATGTGTATTCGATAAGTAGTCAAAATAATACTTTGATTTACAACAATTTAATTGAATAGGAATGTGAATCTAAATGTTTGATTCGGGAGGTCAAAGTTTAAAATTCCCAGTAATTCAATTTTACAAACGTTTGAAGCTCCAATTTTAACTACATTATATATTCACTCGATTTCTCTTGGAACGATATTCTAATTTTATTGAAATTAAAAAAAAAAATGACCGTAGACACTTGAAATCTACACCAAATGTTTTATTTATCAAATTTTTACAGACATTTTTTTAAAATTTTTTTGGATCAGATGGCCAATAGTTATGGATAGAAGAGAGATCATTGAAGGAGATTTCTTAGGTATATTTATTTATCAATAATTATTTTATGTAATATTCTGACTCTGAAATTCATTGTTTATGATCCCCCCAAAATCAATAACGAAACTGTTGTTATTAGTTAGGTGTTAGGTGTGTTTTGGTTATGAGTGACATGCCTTCATTTTTTTTCTGTACTGATTTAATAATTATTACAATTATTGAACCAGAGTAATTATTTTTGTTTTAATTCAATTAACTTATAAGTACAAATATTGATTATAAATGCTTGCACACAAGCATATAATTATATATTGATAAATACTACATAGACATCACTCAAAATCTGAAAGTAAATTGTTTATAATTTATACTAAGAATTCAAATTAGGTAACATACGTATATTTTTGTAGCGTACATAGAAATCAGAAATGAACAATAATAAAACTAATTTCATACATTTCTAAACTTTAAACTAGGTTCTACTAAATAACAAAGTGTCTATGATTATCATTTATTGTTTATCAAGGTTGATTAAAATGTTACCATAAGCACTGCATATAAACTATAAAGTATACACTATCCTTATTAGTTTTCAACTATTATAAGTCAAAAAGTATAAATAAATAATATTTATATTCTATGGCCAACAAATATTCTGAATTTTATGGAAATTAAATTAGACACAAAAACCTACTGAATATAATATTGTACATAGGTATTTTAATTTTTAATTTTTAATCAATACGAGTAGTGAAATGTTAGTTTTGATTGTATGGCTACTTATCTTTTTATAAAAAATAAATTTGTAAGGCTTATTGAGCTTTTATCTAAAATCCATAGACAAGTATGAGATCCATGTTAAAATCAATAAATAATCAATGTGTGTATGAATGTAATTAGCTATTATAATATAATTTATTGTCAACCCTGTTAAAATAATTTTTAACCCATAACATGTTTTCCAGGCATTTTATTAGAAAATTTTTTTAATTTTTACAAGGCAATAGGTATAGAATAATTTTAAACAGTAAACATATAGGCTAAGAATATCTAATATGACTGGTTAACATTATTTTGATGAAAGGAGTCATCCACAGTTCTCCTAGGTAAGCGAAATAAATACATCTTTTCATCTAAAAAAATAAGAAGACCGAAAGCCAAATAAAACCTAATACATATCAATCAAATGTAATACCAATTGACAAATTTAAGGGTACTTAATTTATTATTCTCAAGTCTTAACAAATCCCACAATCGCACAATCATTTATTAAATTAAATGTATATACAAATTCAATCATCAACCGAATGCAAGATATGACGTAAGTATGCTATTGTTATTCTCGAATTTAATAAAATATTTTGAAATGGCTTAATGCCTACTATGCATCTTGTACGTTTTGACATATTGTTACAAATGACGGTCTGCAGTCATCTATGCGGCATAAATCATTTTTATTTAATGATTATCTGGTTATCGATAGGTACCCTGCTCCTAGTACTCTTTATACATGAAATCCCATACAATACATAGTTATGCAAAACCGTGTTCTCGCTCACAATACCGACGTCTTATAATTTCTTCAATCTGTCCGTTGGACCTTCCGTCCGCCCGTCTGCCCGTCTATCTCTGCGCGTCAATGGCTACAGCAGACTTTTTAACAAGCACTCGGGTATACACGTATACAATGTATACATATACCTAGGTCCTGGTATATGTTATTATTATACGCGATGGTCTGGCGACTTTTCGGTTCACGACTCGAAAACAGGTAAGGGGGGGGGGGAAGCGCACGCGGTTGGGGACTGATAGTGTGTAAAGGAATATAGACGACGGAGGAAGAGGTTAGGCTGAGTGCAGCGGTAGAGGCGGTGCCGGCGGCGGGCGGTTCCCTGGCAAAGTACGTTCGGAGCACCGCCGCCGACGACGACGACGACTACTACTACTACAAATACTAATACTACTACTACTACTACTACTACTACTACTACTACTACGACGACGGTGGCGGCGGCGGCAGCGGCGGCGGCGGACGATCGATCGAACTGCTTTGACCCGGGTGTGACTGCCGTTGCCGGCGTTTTCGCAAGGATATTATTTTATGCATGCGAACGCCCTTTACTTTCAGTTATCATCTTTTCCAAATTACCTCGTCTCACCGTCATCCCTTAACACATACCCAAAAACCGTTCGGAACAATTATTTTTTAATACTTAATGACTACGACGCATTATATAAGTACCTACCCTCGTATATGCTCGTCTTACGTACAACAAAAACAACAACGACGACGACGACGCAGTTCGGTTTATCCTTGAGTGCGTGCCCCGCGAAACGGGCGAGGTCTCAGTTTCCTTTCGTGGATTATCTCTAATATTTTCCAACGTCGACCGCCTATTATACATATACATACGAAGGGCGTATTAACCGTATTAAGTATTGAAATACGCCGTTTTAATTTACGCCGTAAGTAAAGTGAACACGAACTTGTTTTCGCACCGGTTCTATCCCCATTCGATATTTTGTAGGACAGCAGTTCTTAAACTGTGGTCCACGGCCCCCGGGGAGTTGGCGGTGACTCTCGTGCGGAAGTCCCTGGTGTTATCAAGTAGAGCTTTGAAAGTTTTAATTCCATTCCACACAACTTATTTATCCGAAAAAGTCTTCTCCCCGGTTGTTTATATTAAAAACAAGTTTAGAAACCGCATAGAAAACATAGAATCTGAACTACGATTAAAGCTTCCGTGTATTGGGTATACAATATTCAGAATTCTATGTTCGGAATGCAACACCACCCTTTTCATTAAATAATACAAATAAAATATGTGAAATATTTGATTCCTATAGGTACGTAAAGTTAATCGAATTAAACGTAATTATGAAACAAATAATATGGTGGTTTTGTGTACATTCTTATGGGTTTGTAATATTGTCATATTTTTTGCGATAATATGAAATGCACTGTGAACAATTTTGTGTACAAAAAAAAGGTAATTCGAAATAAAATGGAGAAGTTTCCTGCGTACATTAAACGTTAAGAAAGCGCTTGTGATATAGTTTTTCCACTAAAAAAATATTATAGTTCCAGAAATATTTTCATATTTTTTGGAGACCTGTATCTATACGTAATGTCGGATAAAGCCATACCCATATCATACTGGTAGGTGTTATCATCGACAGACAACAATATTACATATATTAATATTAGTGTTATATATTTTGAAAGTGTTACTAAACTAATATATTCATACAAAATGTCCTGTCTGGTATAAGTGTATTACGTTTTTCCCAGAGCGTGCTGTGTACCTTATTTTAATGTTTCGTTTTTAAATTATGCGTTTGAATAAAAACGAATAATTCGTAGCCAAATTCATAATTCGTGTAATGTATGCATGTACACATAATTAGTAGTTATTGGGAGAATGGAAATTGCAGTAAATATATTAAACCGTACGTGTGAAAATTGTCAACCATGATTAATAGATGTTTGCTTACATTGACGGGCGCAAATATTTAACAAAAAAAGATAAAAAGATTTAAAGGAATTGTGTAAACAAATAGCGTCGTCAGCATAAAATTTTAAAATTAAAAAAAATATCATTTAATCTTTTAAACATTTTCCCTGGTATTGATTTTTTTATATGTATATTTAAACAAGATAAAAAACGTGACGACTGTTGAAACAGACAGTTATCTCTTTAGGTATGTATATATTTTTCGTTTTATAAATAATATCACTCAGCAAAGGTAAAATAATGAAATATTCATTATGTCGGTAATTGATTTAATTAACGAAAATACGTTTAATTTTTGTATTTTTTTTTTTAGTTTTATTGCATTTTTTACTGTTGATTAATTGCCGTTATAATAGCAATTAATTTATTACAATTCACTGTATGAAAACGTACTAATATATAATGCATATCATATATTTTATCATAAAATATCATAGTTAGAATTATTTCAATACTACAACATTCAAAACTTTTCCCGTGTCAAATAATTTGTATAGTAGTTATTTTTGGACTTTTCCTATACAGAAATTTCCGTTGAGATAGATCTACTCGTTGTTATAGAATAGTTACTACAGCGATCACATGCGCAATATTATTTAAAAACTTAAACAGCTGAAAAATTGTAATTTTATTCGCAAAATTTATTTTCCACCAATTCAATTCAAATAGTTTCAGAAACTGATGGATACATTTTTCAAAAATAAAAACTTCAATAGTGAACGACCGACCATGGCCGCGAACGCGTTGTCCGCCTTGAGAGAGATCGACGAAGCTCTGCACGACACCGCCAAACCGTGGAACAGTCTGTTCGTCTGGGCCGAAGAACGGAGCGGCATCAGCCGTTTGAAACTGTTCTTCGGAGTCGTTTGCGCCACGTGCATGTTCCTGATCACGGGCAGCACGTGGGCGATGCTGGCGAGTGACCTGCTCGGATTCGCGTATCCCGCTTACGCGACCACCGTGCTGATGATGGAATCCGTCGGACAGTTGCCGTCCGGTGTGGCCAGCCCGCCGACCAACGGCCGCGAGTCCGTATCGCCGGCCAACCGGTGGTTCACGTATTGGTTGCTGTTGGCGGCCACGTTGTCGGTGCAGCATCTGTGCGGGGGCTTGCTGCGGTTGGTGCCGTTCTATTGCCTGATCAAGACCGCGTTTTTTGCCTGGTGCGCAGCACCGATCGAGGCCAATGGTGCCGCGTACGTGTACGCCGTCGTCGTGAGCCGTTATTTCAGCCACGGGCGTTGACCAGCCGCACGAACAGGACAAGTCCATAGCATATTTTGTACGTTTTTTAGTTAAATAAAAATAAAGCCAAACAAAATTTCCACTTGATATTTTTTTTCACCTATAGTCAAATGTTATAACGCCAATCGAAGACAATTAAAAAAGCATAATCTTCTTGAGTGGACGCCACACCCGCATATTTGTTGTCGTCACCATCTTACAAGTGTGTAACATGGACAGCATTTAAGTACAGCTTCATTGGTAATATTAAAGGCAATGGTACAACGGTTATTACGATATTTCGATTATTAAGCAACTTATGAGTAGAATATGTGAAATATTGTGATTTAAAAATGCTCAAAACCCATGTAAAATCTATCGTTAAAAGTCCATACGTACAAACATTGATATGAGATATTAACCTAAAATGTGAAAATAATTCATTCACACTAATATTAAGACCAACAAAGCTAAACGTTTACTGCTGTACTAAAATGTAATATTATGGTACTCACTTGTTATGCTGGAGCCAACAAATGCGGGTGTGCCGTCCTGTGATGATGACAATATCTTACTATTGACTATTGATATTAAAATAAATATAGTTTGACAATGAAAAAAACTAGTCAGTGGTTCATTTTGTTTGGATTTTTTTTTGATTTACTAATAAATGCATTACGCACTATTGTCATAATATATTCATCGACGAAGGCATTGACGATTACTATGAATGTGTACTTAATGACAGAGTTTTTGGCCAGCGCTGCAGGGCGCCGCGGTGGTGCGCCAGAACTGGATTAGAATATAAATTGGACAACCACCGCACCTAAACACCGGAATCAAGTGTGCCTGCGGTCATCGACACTACCACAGCACCGGAACTTGGCGCGATCACTGCAATTGAGTGTTGCTGCACTTTGCACAGTAGCCACCGAACTTGAACTGATCATTTTCAGCCAACTATTTTATGCATACGTATAGAACTCCGCTGCAGGTCTGTGACCGGAAGGGCTTGAATTTATAACCGGGGGAATTTTCAATGGGGGGGGAGACATGTTACGACTTATAAGTCACTATAAATGTTACTGAATTGTGGGAGTAAAACCAAAGATACAAGTAAAGAGGCTTTAGGGGACGAGCATACCAACATTTCTAATTGCTTATAAGTTATAACCATCGTCCACGGTATACGAGTAATGAGTATATGTATAGATATCTTAGCCCGTGCTTATAACTGTAAAATGTGAGAATTGTTAATTGCTATATTTAGTATCATATTATCTTAGTCCGTGCTGAATATTATATTATTACCATTACGCCGTTTGATGCAGCAGTTGACAACTCATACACACACATTGACTGGCAAGTACTTATCAAGATTTCATAACGTTTTTCTCGTGCTCTGTATAGTTAATACATCTTATTGTAAATAATGGCAAAGAACATCGTGACCTACGTATCGTAAAGGTGATAATATTAAAGGGGGGATTAACCCCTAATCTCCACTCCCCTGAACCCGGCACGACCTTATTATTGCAGTTTTTTATGCATTTTGATAGATATAATATAGGTTTAATGTTGTTATTAACTAAAAATTGTTAAACAAATTAAAAATAAATCTTTATCAGGTTTGATAAGATATCTTAAATATCTTAAATAGTTATCAATTCCATCAATTCAAATATTTTTAATTTTCAAAAAATAAGTAATGTTAATGTACAAATCCCAGTAAAAGCACTTGTAAATACTAAAAAGTATTGACAGTATTGTTAACGAAAACTAAAATATTTCTACTGCATATTTTGATAAAATCTTCGTGGTGGGGGTTTCGGTTATTGAAATTATATGTTCCTCGGTGTTATGTCTAGATGATTTTTTCCATCTCATTATGTCCATGTAATAATGTCTTAAAAACATTGTATGTGCCTACATAAATGGTTATTCATATTATGTATGAACTATTTATCTGAATGAGGTCACCGCTATTACCTAGATTGGTGTTAATTTATGCATATAATATTGCATAATCTTCTAGTGACATCGGAATGTTTGATATTGGTCTACCACCTATGTTTCAATGAATATTTACCATTTGCAATAGATAAATATTTTTTCCTAATCAATTGAGTAATTTTAAAATCCTTGATGGTATTATGAACATTTCTGCGAGCAACATTTGTTCTAGATGGGACATGACAATTTTATTATTCGGTTTGTCTCTATTCCAAATAGATCAAGTATGATATTTTTACGCATTTGCTTTGCGAAACAGTGAATACAAATATATTTACAACTTTACGAGTATTATTACTGCTGTTATATTTTATGATACCTGTATTGTTTGTAATATATATTATAATAAAAAAACATTTTATAGATTAAAAAATAAGTGGAATATTTAACTTAAGCCGTGGATTTTTGAATTAGTGAATAAAATGCCTATTGACATTTGAATAGAACTGTAATTTATTTATCGTACACATTTAAAAGAGCGCATTATTTTTAATGGACTTAATTGTTGCCGACATAACAATGTAGACACGATGTCTAGAAACCATAGTTGAAAGTGTTGAAACTGTTTTCATAGTATTAATAACAAGTATAAAACAAAAAAATGACCAATACATGGTAAATCAGTGTGTTACTAATTTTAACAGACAGGTTACTTTAATCTTCCTCGGAGGCGTCATAAAAGATTTTCGTAAATTTATACCGTTTTCCCCAAAGTCATTTTTCCACCCAAGCTATCAAGGTCGTTCTCTAGGTACATCCATGATACATTTACTCATTTATGCACTCTTAATAATACAATTTGCCATTTGGGAGCTTAATTAAAATAATGACAGTCTAGGGATAACCTGATATTTTAAAACAAATGGTTTTTTAAACAATTTGTCACTTCATGCTCAGACACTAATATGTCATTATTGTGTCTGTAAAAAATACTCATTGCCTAACATATGATTTTTTTATTAATTATTTTTATATAAGTTGTAAATTTAACAGTTACTATTAATTATCTACAATCGACCGAAATCTTTCAATTAACATTAAATATACTAATAAGTAATTAACACAAGAATACGACTATAATAATAGTTTCATAATCATCGATATAAATGAAAAATCACCAACTTATAGTTTCAATAAATATATAGAAGTTTCGTAGTTAAGTATGTACAAGAATAGTAGTTCTAACTTCTAACTATTGTTAATAATTTTCAATTGAATAGCCTAATACACTTAAATAAATGATAGGTATTATACGTGCATACGTAATAATTTAATAGTGTTTATTTTGATAGGTATAATATAAAAATATAAAAGAAAAATAGTATGTAGAATCAATTTTATTTTTTTTTTCTAAAAATTAAAAGTATATTAAAAATAAATCGAATTTATATCAAAATCCTAATAGGTATACGTTAAAATATAATCCGTATAAATTAATTAGGTTAAATAATGTTTATACCTTTACTTTAGAATTTTATGTTAAAAACTGTATATTTTTTTGGATAGTGTTAAAAATTTAATTAAAACTGAATAGATCTCATTTATACATCGTAATTAATGTATATAATGTTAATATTAATGCAAAATTATAACAAGATGTCCCACATGAAGTCAATTATTTTTGTGATGATACTATGATAGTAAGGGTAAGCTTCATAGACTTACATACTATATAAATTAGTACCTAAGTAATTTTGAGAACCCTGTTTTTGGAAAATATGGGTAATTATTTATACATTTTTCTTGATTGTTTCACATTCATTAATTAGACGTATTTTTTTTCAGACATAATATATATTTAATTTTTTGGTTTACAGTTTTAACTTTTAATTTCCTCTCATATTTTTCTAGATTTTTAATTTGTATAAAAGTCTCGATATTTTATCACAATAAATAAAGTAAATGTTCATTTCTACTTAGAATAATTAAAATCTATTTTTAATATTAGATGCTTTGGTACTTTTTTATAATATATTACAGCTTGAAATTTAACACATTAACAATTTAAATACAATAAGTTTATCGTTTACCATAAATATATCGCTGTTATATTTATAAAATATTTTATTTAATACTAACAATATTTAATAATTTATCAAACTGTTATTTAATATCAATTAAATATTTGTTTTAAAAGTACTTGTCATGTTACAAGTTTCATTATTCATAATTTGATGTTGAAAAGTTTATAAAATCGTAAAATGTTAAGTGTATAATATAAACGTTCTAAAGATTACATTTTTTCAAAGTCTACAATTAATTAAATTTGTGAACAAAAATAAGTAGGTACCTACTTGAATGTAATATAATATTATATTATAATTTCAAAATATCTGTTATTTTTCATCTATAATATTAAATGTAAATGTTGAATACAATTACAAGTGGAGAATCATTAGAGTCAATATTAAATTTGATTCAAAAAGGAGGAATTATTAAACTGTAAAAATGAAGTAATAAATGTTTGCTGCTATAAATGAGAAGTATATAAAATAATCATAATTTTGCAAATATTTTTCACATGAAAAATCAAAACTCAATAAGTGATTATATAAAATGTACATAAAAATTCTATAAAACAGACAGTAGTAGAACTTAATACTTATATAGTATTTAATTAGCTATAAAGGTACAGACGGTACAGTTGGCCGTTCATGCACTTAAACATGGACTTCAATAATGATTATAATATTATACATGAAATTTCGAGGTATCTATACATATTGTGAATTTTACGAATTTTAAACGATAACAAACAGTGTAATTTAAAATATTTTATTATATATCTATTTTAGTTCATGAATGATTTAATTTTTTAATCTTTTTTTTTTCAAAATAATTTCCCTTATTCAAATGTTTTTCATTTGATTTTGTCTCGAGTTTTAACTTTGAAGGGCCTAGGGTAGAAGTACTTGATATCAGTGTCTCCCTCCGTGTTCATCGAGTGTATATTGTAGGTTTTGATGGCTTTTTTATTTCACCCTTTACCGTTCTTCCCCTTTTCAGTCACTATATTTCTCTTGCATGATAAAACGACTCGTTCGCGTGTTATCGTCAGCTTGTCTCACCGGAAGCGTGGTTACGTCGCCTTTACACTGTCGTCCTAGACCACTTTTCAGTAGTTCTCGACTAATCGTACAACCTGATAATGGTCAAACGTGTCCTTAAAATTGCGTTGTATACATATATTTTGCAATACAAGTAAATTCAGAAATTTAGACGTATTTGTGTGCGTGTGAATGTTTATAAGAAGACCCTGAAGCAGTTTTGGCGGGGAGTGCCAACGAAAAAGCGCTTCACTATATTTTCACTATAGTTAATGTCCTAGTATCGATTTTGGTGCGTGGTTGACTCAGGCAGCCGGTCGACTGGCGAGTGGGTGGTGCGCGGGAGGAGATGCCAAAAGATAGGGTGGCTGGTGGTGGGTGGTGGGATGGATAAAATTCTGGCAACAAAGGGGCTTCTTTTACCAGGTCCGCGCAAAAGGCTTCTCTCTCTTTCTCCATTTCTCTTTCTCTTTCTCTCTCTATCTATCTCCCGCTCTCTTCCGCCATCTCTTTATCACTGTTTCTCGTTCACCCCAAGACACTAGCGGGCTCGTGTTTCCAAACCCGCATTAATGGTTATGTTGGCTAAAAGCACTTCAGAGAAATTTGCCACACATGCAGAAGTACAATTTCGGACATATAATGGAAAAGTTGGAAAAAGATTAAAGTCGGAATGTAACGCAGTGTTAATTAAACAGGGGTTAACCCCTCCCACTATACACCAAAAACAAACTGCGACAACTGCTTATTGCTATATTCATCCACTCAAAATGTATATTACGGACAATATAATATGACGGTTTAAAATTATTATGTAAACGACTAATGGAGATTCATTTTGTCGAGTAGGTACTTTGTATTGTACTATATTGATGAGATATCAAATGATACCAGGCGTTATTTTTTTATATTTATATCAACAAAATTAAGTGATTGTAGATCTTTAACAATGAGCAGTAAACCTATTAAAATAAAATTACTGTTCCAACATATTAAAAAAAAAATAACTTTAATAATTAATATTATATATTAACTATAATTTACTTTATTCATTTTTTTAGTAAATCGTGTTGAACAATTTTTTTAAACTGTAAGCATTCATAAAAATATTTTAATAATAATATTGTTAACTGTTTATAAATGCAATTTACTTGATGAAATGAATTAATGGAGTTTAGTTAAAAATTATTTTAATAAATAATTAGTTGTGTAAGTGTTAACTTTTTGAGATTCATTATGGTTCAAATCAATCGTTTTTAAGTAAAAATAACTGAACAATTTTTCTGCAATACCAAATACCAAATTCATGTAGTAGACTTATGTTTGATTTCTAAATTTGGAAACTATTTTAATTAATTTTTTATAGCTTTTCGAATCATTGAATCAAAACATTGATAACTTATGTTACATAAGCGTTATGTTCAAAAAACAGTATTCAAAAAATTGTCTATACTTTTTAAATGTTCGCTTTTGTTAGTTGTATTGTATGAAATTAATAATTTAAATTAGAAAATAATGAAATCTCTAGTCCTTGA